CCTGGATCCACGCTTTGAGGAAACCTCCGCTTTATAGGCCTGTTCCAAACGAACATCCACACCATTGTTTGCACGCCAGCCCGCAGGCCACACGGAAGCCGACCTCTCGCTCGTCAGAATCGCCCTGTTCGAGCGTTCCGATTCCCTATACGTAGTATGGAGCTGTTTTCTAGGCATCAAAACATTCAGGACAATCCCCCCCTTCCCCCTCACCCCACTTAAAATCCGTTTTCGAGGCGACGTCGAGTTTGTCGTCCGCTGTCAAGCGTAGGGAAGGAAGCACATCCCGCAGAAATCAACGGGAGTTTAGAAAACCGGGAGGAGGGTGCCAATCTTATAATTGTTGGGTTTGTGCCGGAGTTGGAGGAGGGGGTGGGGGTGGAAATCACATACGAATGTATTTCTCTAAAAAATATTGACAAGAGTAATAGCCTCCTGGCGAAGACCTCGCGCGGCGAGGTTTTGTGCTGGAGAGATATTTTATTGCCGGGTAATTATTCCCGGTTCCCCCTCCTAACGAAGGGCTGTAAGTGAAAACGCTGCCAGAATCTATTAAATGTCGCCAAGGCAGAATTGAAGTCAAACTGCTGCTGGGTTTACACGCCCCCTGTTGGAAAAGATCTTGTAATTAGGGAGAGCTCTCCCGCCGGAGGAGGCTGCATATCAGGGCCCGGAGGCCGGGTGGGGGAGGGCTCGCAGGAGAGCCGAAAAAACATCCTCCTTTCTTCCTCCATGCAAATAAGGTTGCATTGAAACTACAAGCCGAGAGATCGTTATGCAATGAACAGCAGATGTTACTTTCCGCCTTGCCTGGTGGAAGGCGGGGGGGGGGGGGGAGAAACCTACGTGAAAAAGAGAAACCATCCCCTCCTTTTCCCTTTCTTTTTTTGGGGGGGGGGGAGAGGAGGGGGTTGTTGGCAAACGCTTCGCCTCTTTTCAACACCTTGGTTCGCGCTCAGCGTTGACGTTAGCAGCTGTTAAAAGAGAGCCCAGGCCGCCGTTATTAATGTTCCGCGACTGTGTTTGCTATCCCATGCGAGAACAACTCTGTCTCCACGCCAGCGCTCTTTCTTTTAGCCTCATTTTACAGATGGGAAAATCTAGGTCCAGCACCCCGACCGTTCAGCATAGACAGCCCTTAGACTTCTTGTGCGTAATGGTGTCAAACTAGGACCTGGGAGTGCAGGGTTTGCATCCCCACTCAGCCACGAAGCTCACTGGGTGACCTTGGGCCAGTCACCATTTCTTAGCCTAACCTCCCTCACAGGGTTGTTGTGAGGACAAAATGCAAAGAACCTTGAGCTCAGTGGAAGAAAAGGTGGTATACAAATGTAACTAACGATTCAATAAATGTAAAAAACAGGCTGAGGGAAATATTTCATTAGACTACAGTTGGTAAAGGAGTGTGCAAGTTTTCCAGTTGCACAGAGTTCTTCATCAGAAAAAAATGGCTCAGTTTGCAAGTAAGGTTTAGTAAGTAAGCCTCTGTAGCAGTGCAATTTTAAACATGCCTACTCAGAAGTAAGTTATGAAATTCAGCAGGGCTCACACCCATGTAAGCAAGGTTAGGCTTTGCAGCCTTAGTCCAGTACTTAGAAAAAAGTACTTCCCCTACTTAGAAAAAGCAGGCTGTAAGTCTGAGCTATTCAGTTTACATCTCTATAGTGGTACCTCGGGTTACAGACGCTTCAGGTTGCAGACTCCGTTAACCCAAAAATAGTACCTCGGGTTTAGAACTTTGCTCCAGGATGAGAACAGAAATCGTGCAGCAGTGGCGCAGCGGCAGCAGCAGGAGACCCCATTAGCTAAAGTGGTGCTTCAGGGTTAGAATGGTTTCAGGTTAAGACCGGACCTCCAGAACGAATTAAGTTCTTAAGCAGAGGTACCACTGTATTCTCTTTATAATCAGTGTGTGTATGCTCAGATCCTAAAACTAATTCAGTAGGTTTTAGATTTGCCTAATGCAGTTTAAGATCCGGGCTGCCTTTCCTTTTGCACTTAACTGGAAAGTTTGCCATACCCCTATAGTAGCTAGCAAATATCTGTTTACATGAAGATCTCGCATGCAAGCTACCTAGTTCCCTTGTCTTTGATAGGATCCCATCGAATAAGGCTTTTGAAAAGCACCATGGGCCCGCAGTCAGATTTTTACGTAAGCCCTAAAACATCTCGACAACCAGCTCCATAGGCTGAACAGATGCTTGCTCTAATGTCACTGTGGTTCAGATATACCAAACAGGTAAGGGCTAACAACAGCAAGATTCCTAAGGGCTAGTTTGAAATTCTGCATTACTAGTTTATATGGACTCCCCATTCACTTCCCTTAGTGTTTGGCAGCAGAAAGGTGAATACTACATAGTCTTAGATCTTTAAATTTAAAACAAAAGATTGGAAATGATTGCATTAATCCTTAATTATGAATATATTTTACCCAAATGAGTTTGTGTGAAAGAATAGCCTTATATGGTTCTTCATTAAAAACAAAAACACTCAAAATGTGATTTGAAAGGGTTAAAAAAAATAGTACACGGTGAAGTGGGATAACCTAGAATTCTAGATAATTATGATTCCGCCAAAAGTAACAATTACTCAAACACGAAAACAAGTACCGGTATTTGTTGTTTACTTCTTGCGGACACCTGCTAGTTAATCCTGAATGAGTCATGGTTACTGTATTTTAGGTATTTTTAATGTTCTGCTTCACCACTAAGCTTAGAGCAAGTAAAGTAGCACGTAAGGTTTGCTGCCCCTAAATCTACTCTTTAAGATACAGTGGTACCTCAGTTTAAGAACAGTCCTGTTTACAAACGATTCACTTTACAAACTCCACAAAACCAGAAGTTTGCGAACTTTACCTCGGTCTAAGAATGGAATCCGAACAGTGGAAGGGCACCGGTGGCGGTAGGCCTCCTAAGGGAAAGTGCGCCTCCGTTTACGAATGGTTTCGGTTTAAGAACGGACTTCCAGAATGGATTAAGTTCGTAAACTGAGGTACCACTGTACTTCACTGGTGGGGAAAGTGAGAGACAGTGATTGAAAGGGAAAGGCATTTGAAGGTAGGATCAAGTCATTCCTATCCTTTGAATTCATACCACCCCCACCCCCAGCCAACCACAATGCCTTTCTGGAAGGAGGTAAACAATGGTGGTACCTACTTTCTTCTAAACAAATGTTCCTGATGTTTTTCTCCGATTCCTAACAGTAATCCTTTTAAATTTTGTTTAGAAGCAATCCTACTTCCATGGAGGCCACCATCAGTGGCATTTCCAGTTTCCTTACTAGAATTTTAATCAAATCGATGAGCTCCTGGAAAGCACACTATAAGCTCTACAATCCTCCTTCCGGGTCACTGAGCTCCACGAGAACTACTGGAAAGCCCAACAGAATAAATCAACCAAATCTTCTGAACTGCCAAAAAGGCCAGCATGTCGAAACAACGGCGGAGATGCTATTCCATGCACGAGTACAACCAGTAAGAGCCCTACCGTGGAATCCGCAGACTGAATTCATTTCTGCACTGGAGAGCAAGCAAACACCTCGCCTGGCGCTCTTGCATGTTAATGCGCAGCTGCGTTTAAGAATGCCCAAGGCACTCTCGCCTGTCACTTAAATACTGTCTAGTCGGAGGCTATCACCTCGGGTGTCTGTCTGCAAATGGTATACAATGCCTGCACACCTACGTATTCTTGTCAAAGGAAAGAATGGCCCACGGATGGTAGTTTTCTTTTTAATGGAAACCACCAGTGTGAGAAAAATTCAGCCTGTTTCGTAAAAAGGCCCGGAAATGCTGGATTGACGGTTCCAGCTTTTAACTACTTTTTTGCTCTTTCTAAAGCAGCATTGCATAGTAACATGGCATTCCTAATCAGGTTTGCAGAGGAAAGACTCTCAACTTTTGCCAGTTCACCGCTGATATGTCGAGTGAAGGGCATTCCTTGACAAAGCAATCTTGTATCCTGATCTGCACCGACTGAAAGACAAGATGCTTCAGAACAATCCACGGGAAGGGGAGAGCCTCAAGCAGCGATCCGCCTTCCCCACTTATCCAGCCAGGACGCCTCGTAGGCCACACACGCCTCCCAGGGTTTTCCCGCCTCAGCTGCCTCTTCAGAAAAGCCTCCTTGCATAACGCACCTTGCGTGCTGGCAGTTCCCCTCCCAGAAATATGCCTAAGCGCATTAATGGCGAGAATGGAGTCATTCATTCATAAGATCAATGAACGTACAGGAGACTCACCAAGTGCCCATTCCACCAGATCAAGAGCATTCATACCAACTGAGCTGCTCTCTTGTTTAACGCGCAGGACAGAGATCAGACCATCTCACTTGAGAGGAAAAGCCACACATGGAGAAATCGCCAAGGGAGGACCGAGCCACTTGGGAGTTTGAACTAAGGCCTTACAGGCTGCCGGGAAAGATCGGATCCATTTCTGCATTTTGCTTAAACGGCTGCGAGAGGCTGTGGCAGGGACACGGCCGGGTGCCTTCTTACATCGGCGCATCCCGAGTCCCGCGAGCAACGGGGACTCTCACCCGGGGTGCCAACTTGAATAAAATACTGGGGGGTGGGGACGGGGACAGGTAAGCCCCGCCCGGCATAATCGATCACAAGACGCTCGCATGTGCACCATTTGAATGTCAATGTTCATCAGCTTCGGGGCGGGCCCCTCAAATATGTTACTGGGGGCGGAGAAGAGACCTCGGCCCCTAAGAGTTGGCCCCTATGCTCCCGCCAAAGCCACGCTTTTTTCCGGAGGGGGTTGCAACCCCCCCCTTCTCAGCTTTAAGCGGACCTCAGTCGCAGGGAGCGCGAGAGATAGCCCTTTGCAGCTGGGCGGGGGAGGAGGAAGGCTTCCCGCCACGAGGCTGCTGCTTCTTAAGGGGCCAGACGGGAACTACCAGCGGCTCCCTGGAGCAGGCAACCGAGTCTGCGCCTAGAGAGCCCCGCCGGCAGCCAAGCCCCGCCCTTTCGCTTGCCTGGCAGCCGCTGCCCCCTGGAGGCGGCTCCCTTCGGCTTCACCCGCCAGGGATGCAAATGGCGGCTTCGCTCGGAAGCCCCGAGGGCCCAGGCGCTCGCTCGCTCGCTTGAAAGGGGAGAGCGCCGGCCGGGAAAGTCTGGCGGGCGCCCGAAGCTTGCCTGCCACGCTGCCCAGGCCGAGCCTGCTGCTGGCGGAGGCCCCGGGCAAGCCGGCCTGGAGCGGGTTGAAGGGGAGGCCGCAGCGCGCCGCGCTCACCTCCTGAGGCCTTGGCGGAGGCCGCCCGAGAGCGGGGTGGTTCCGAGGAGCCTGGCTGCGAGACTGGGGGCGGGGTCGGTGAGGAGCTGAGGAAAGGAGCCTTTGTGCGAGGCGGCGCTCGGGCTCCCTCTGGCGGCCTCTGCCGGCCGCGCCCGGAACTGCGCCGCTTGGCTCGCCCGCTGCCTGCCACGCCGAGGCGGGTGTGTGCGCCAGAGAGATAATCCCCCGCCACTGTGCAGCTGTCACACATGCCAACTGTCCTTGTCAAGGGAGGACAGCCCCGCTTACGCGCTCGCTTTGCAAGCGCAGCCCGCTCGTCTCCACGGAGCTGTCCCTTTAGCAAGCAAATCGCGCGGCGGGTTTCCATGGAGGTGGAAGGGAAGGGATGCTGCGGTGTGACCCCCCCTCCTCCTCCTGCCACTCACGTTGCTTCTCTCCCTCCCCCCCCCTCCAGCTGTAAATTCTTCTCCTGCTGTGCAGGTTCGGCTCGCTGCTTCCTCCTCAGACCGTAACCGAGTCTCTCAGCTGCGAACTGGGTCAAAAAACTCTGGCACTTCCTCTTGCACAGCTTCTCCTTGAAAGGAAAACCTCGGCTAGTTTCAGTGGAGCCTCTTTTCCAATGTGCTTAGGTTCGCAACCTTACGCTCCAGTGGTAAACACATTAATTTCCTGGCATCCTCTTATGTAAATAGAGATGCTGGAGCTCAAGTTTGTGTTTATCCTGGTTTCTAATCGCAGATGTTTGGCAGGTTGCGGTTACTACCGGGGAAAAAAGCATTTCTGCATGGTTATATTGTTTCTTCAGACGTTCATTGAAAACAGATTTTCCGGGCTGACGGGGACTTGCTTCCACAAAGCTCTCTTAGCCAGAATGTCAGGCGCATCACTGTAATTATTGTTCAGTGGCGAAGAAAAAAAGCACTCTGCACCTGCTCAAACACATTCCATTCTCTGTCGGTTCATAAATTCCAGAAAATCCTAAAAACAGATTCCTGGGTGCAGCAGAGGAACAATTTCATTATAACTTCTACCTATCATATTTAAGGATCCGGATGCTAAATTAATCGCTTGTAGATTAAAGTCAGGGAACGGTGCGATTTTATGCATCTTTTCTTGCGACTTTATTTCAAGTAAATGTGCATGGAATCGCAGCCCTAGGGTAGGACGGCACCTCAGTGATACCTCTGTTGGAAGAACTAATCCGTCTGGGGTTTGAAGTTGCCCTACAGCTGGCGGAAGTTGGGGACTGAAAGATGAAGATAACCTTTAACTCTCTGTTCTTAAGCAACATCGTTAAAAGCATGTTCTATTGAATAAGAAAGAGCGCAGTTCCGAGAGTAGAACCTAAAAAGTTCCCCTTATTTCAGTTACAGTTTGCTCCCGAGCAATATGGAGGAACAGAATGTGGTTGACATACAGGCCTTGAATCGCTTTCCTGGCGGACTAGAGCGTTTTAGAGGGGACTACCCTAGTACCAGCAAATGCTCTTGGGAAACAATTTTTAGGATTCCGGATTTACAGACTAGCGAGAATTAGAGAAGCCGCTTTGGATTTACGAGGGGCATCTTAAAACCCACCAGCCTTTGGGTTTCTGGTGCTGCAGACTAACAAAGCTCAGCAGAATCCCTCTTTTTGCATGTTTCCGAGTGGCAGCTGAGAAAACTCTGTGGCACATTCAAGCTTGGGATGCAAGAGCCTCACTGAATAAGTCCTCCTTTACTGACCACTGTACTGGTGTTGCCAGTCGCGACTTCCGAAGAGCACATTCTTGCAAGCCTAAAGCCTGAAATTGTGAACACGGAGCTAGAGCGTGGTGGCTGTTCTGAATTAGTGAACTTGAAGTACATGGTGCTGTCGTAAAAATAGATAAGCTTAGCTGCCCCCCTCTCTTTCCAGTTTTTCGGGGTGGCTGTAGGGGGAATATGATGCAGCTGATCACAGAATGAGTGGGGTTTGCTGTTGCTTGAAGCAAGCAGGTCTGACCGGATAGATGCACCCAACGGTGCAGTCGGAAGGAATGCCTTCCAGTTCCAGCGCAAGCCTATACGTGCCTTGCCATTTACTTCCAGGTAAGTGTGCATGCAGCTGCAGCCATGGGCGTAGCCAGGGTTTTTGTGGGGCGGGGGCGGGTTTTTTGTGTTGGGGGGACAGAACCTCAGCTAGCTGTGTGTTTTTATTGATTTAGGGGTGGCAGCTGCCCCTTCCTGCCCCTCTTGGCTACGCCTTGGGCTATAGCCCTAGGCTTACTGCAGGTGACCCAGCCCAGGCTCTGCATCCTGCTAAACCGGTCTAGTTGCCCACCAGCCTCTATGTAACTTGGGGGGAGCGACGCCCTCGTAGCCTCTTTTCTGGGGCTTCAGCGGCTCCGTTCTCAGTTGCCACCGCTGCCGAGAGCTGAAACCTCCTTCTCCGGGGCTGTTGAGCACGTGACCCGCCCCCCCCCTCGCCCCCGGATCTCCAGCAAAAGCAGCTGCAGGGTTCTGAGCGCAAACAAGCCACCCCGAGGGCGGCGGCCCCGGCCTGCCTCCCTGCTTGCCTGCCTGCTTCTGCTTCTGCTGCGGCCGCCAAACTCACGCTCAGCCCTGCGGATCAGAGTCTGCTTATTACTGGGGAAGGAGGAAGGGGAAGGCAGAGTGAAAGCTCGTCCTCCGGAGAGGAAGGCTTTGGCTCCGCGCCTTCCTTGCTTCCCGAGAACCTCGCATAGGAGCGCGCTTCTCCTTTTCTGCGTATTCTCTCCTTCGTTTGCTCGCTTCTCCCAACCGACATTCGGCTGAAGCATGCAGAGATCTACCACACAGCCATACTGGTTTATAATGGGATGAGATGGGGGAGGGCGGAACGTCCGCCGGGCCACTCTGTTCTCTAAATAGGCGGTGGGTAATTGCAGCAGAAAAGAATAGAGACCACCACCAGTGCATAGGGTCGATCATGAAAGCGGGAGTTAAATGTCTCCGGGAGGCTTCTCATCCGTCTCTCAGGGCCACCGTCCTATTAGTATACAGCTGCCAGGGGTGCCAACTTAAGTAAAATATTGGGGGAGGGCAGGTAAGCTCTGCCCCACATAATCAATCACATGACGCGGTGCACTCGCACCTTTTGAACGGCAATGCCCATCCACTTTAGGGGGCTGGCTGCTTCAAATATTTTATTTGAAACACCTCGGCCCCTAGGAGTTGGCTCCTATGATACACGCTTACTTGTGAGCAGGGCGGGCACAAGACATTTTGGCACCTGAGGCGAACCACAAAAGGGAGCCCCCCCTCCCCTAGAGTGGACAATGGAATCGGAAAAAGCTTGCAATTACCAGTTAGGCTTAGGGTTTAAATAAGTAATGTGATGAATTAACATGTGTCATGCTGAATTGGGAAGAAAGAATGATGTTAAGTGATTAAGTTAAGTTTATAAGAATTTTGATTTGGAAAACCGTTAAAATGATGTGCATTGAAATTCAACCAGGGGGATACGAGGAAGTCACTTTTGAATGTTAATAAGATTAGTTTTAATAAGGTTTGATTTCTGTTTGTTTGTTTGTTTATTTGTTAGTGTGTTTATAATTTTGTGAAAATCAATTAAAAAAATTGGGGGGGGGGGAAATAGAGTGGACAGTGGATATCTACATCGGGAACAAGGGGAGGAGTCAAATCAACCTAGCCAGATGGTTGAAGTGGGTACCAAAGGTCCATAGTGGAGAGAACGACCCCTGCTCTGAATCTTTCCAGATGGAAGCAGAGCTCAGGAGACTCCCCAAAGGGCTGCATCCACCATTGGGGGGGGAGATAATCAGTGCTTCATATTTGCTGAGAGATCAGTCCAGCCTCCAAGGACCCCACTTAGGCAGCAGCAGGCCATGTATCCTTGGCGCATAGGAGCCAACTCCTAGGAGGTGAGGTCCCTTCAGCCCCCCAATAAAAAATGTGAGGGGACTGGGCTCCCCCAAAGTTGATGTGCATTGCCTCTGGCACTCTGGCACTAACTCCTGGGGGCCCAGGCACACACATTTTTTTCCCTATGGGCGCCTGGCCTCCACCCCTGCCACTGCGACTCACTGCTGCCACTGCACACGGCCACACCTCGCCATGCCCTGCTCTCTGCCACCGCCTGCCAGTTAGTGTATCTTTAATGCCAATCCTCAACAACACTGGTCATGATCCTGCCAAAGTTAAGCATGATCCCCAGCATATCTGTGGATTTGTGGTTGAAGATGGGATTCAGCACATCCATGGCACTGAATATTTGCATTGCACTTTAATTGTATTTTATTGCTTCTTTTATTTCTTACATTGTATTTTATTGTATTGCAATTTGAATTGTATGGAACTACAATTGCAGCAAAAGTGGTCAGCAATTTTTCACTGGCCCATTGGGGAAAAGTTTGGGAATCACTGCTTTAGAACCCTTGCTGCATTTGTTGTCTAAGCTCCCTTTTTTAAAAAATGTAGATATTGGTTGTTCCTGGGCCAGCTGCTCCTGTATTTGATAGATAGGACTTAAAATATGCTTTATAATAAGATTGCTTGACTAGATCTCTGGCTGAAAGATTAGAGGAAAACTGGCAACGCCACTGAAGAGCTCCAAGATTAACAAACCATCAGCATTGTTTCTATTAAAAACCATAATAATTAAGATTGTCTCCACCAGTCTTTCTATAGTCCTGATCCCATGAAGAGAGATCTGCCCAGGCAAGGTGCAAGAATAATCTCTGTTATTGTATGTCCTGGGCTCAGCCAAACACCTACCACATGCTCACTCAACACTGAATGGAAGACTCATCACCAGGTAATAGGAGGGATATTTCGTTTTCTTTATCGCTGCTGGCTGGATCCCTTTCTCGCTGACTTTAAGGCCTTCACTATTTTTAATGTTTAGTGTTAAATATTAAAGAGATGTGTGGGTACATGTGCAGTCTAGTTCAAGAAGACATGGAAACTTTCTGATGTTGAATGTGGAGTTCAGAAGATAATGATAACAGAAGCCAAAGTTTTGTCTGATGCTCCAGACATTCATAATTTATCTTCATTTGGTAGTGGTCTAGTATCAAAATGTTTTTTGTATCTGAAAGATTTCAGATGGATTGCATTTATGTTATTTTACACAACAAGCCTTTCTGCTTGTTTGTTTTGCAGAAGTGTCTGCTGAGTCAGCTAAGATGGACAAGTTGTGACTGTCTAACTAATACTGAGAAGAAACAGTAGGCTCTCCTCTGGGAAATTCACACTTCTATTGTTTGCAGGCAAAATCTAATATTTAATGCTAAGGTCCTACCTTGGAGGTATTATTCCACAGCTCACCCTTGCCCTATGAGCCTAAGGAAAGTTTTACAAGCGAAGACTTGCACTGATGAGTTGTAGCAATTTCCTTTGCTCGTTTTGCTATGTATAAAATATCTCTGTTGTTTAAACAATGTTTTCCCTCCATCTACTCAGCCATCTGCTGTTCCCATTCAATCCTTCAATGGCAAAACGTTGCATATTATATCACATACATTTCCAAGGCAACAGTGTGATGGCATAAATACCGTATGATGATTTCATGCAGCTGAGTTAGGAAGAGGGAAAACCTTTCATGGAAGCAAACATTTGGAACAACTCTGTGGGTTAAACCACAGAGCCTAGGACTTGCCGATCAGAAGGTCGGCGGTTCGAATCCCTGTGACGGGGTGAGCTCCCATTGCTCGGTCCCTGCTCCTGCCAACCTAGCAGTTCGAAAACACGTCAAAGTGCAAGTAGATAAATAAGTACCACTCCGGCGGGAAGGTAAACGGCATTTCCGTGCATTGCTCTGGTTCGCCAGAAGCGGCTTAGTCATGCTGGCCACATGATCCAGAAGCTGGAGGTCCGTTCTTAACCTGAAGACCACTTTAGCTAATGGGGCCTCCCGCTGCTTCTGCGCCACTGTCGCACAATTTCTGTTCTCATCTTGAAGCAAAGTTCTTAACCTGAGGTACTATTTCTGGGTTAGCGGAGTCTGTAACCTGAAGCGTCTGTAACCCGAGGTACCACTGTATTTTCCCCCAGAGGATATATAACACCATTATGACTACTAAAAAGGAAATGAAAATGGCTATCCAGCCCTCTTCTAATGTACCAACATCACTAAACTTTCTTCTTACATAATGACTTCTTTTACTTTATGTATGGTATTGTCAGTGCACCTTGCAAATGCAGAATAATGTAAGGAAAAAGTTCTCTGCTCTGGTGTGTATACACTCTACCCATGCTCATTGTCACTCCCGGGTTATATTTTTTGATTTCTGGACAAAAGTACAGTTATGAAAAACTGGCCTTTTGGCTTGGAAATTGTGGGATCAGTTAATGGGGTAGCATAAAGAACAGGGGTAGCACAGAGGAAGTGTGTTGGGTATCTGTTATAGATTTCAGCAAATATAAGTCTAGGTCATGAGAGCAAAAAGAAATGTAAGCAGCCCCTTCCATTTTGTGCTGGCAATGAGAAACCACAAAGCATTGGGCAGGGGGGGGACCCACAAGAGCAGAAAGTGCTTTCTTCAAATTGAGATTTGTGAGAGTCACAATCCCTGATAGTATTTTTTGTTTAAATATATGTACAGTGAGGGGGGGAGTATTTGACCCCCTGCTAAATTTGCCCGTTTGCCCTCTGACAAAGAAATGACCAGTCCATAATTTTAATGGTAGGTTTATTGTAGCTGTGAGAAACAGAAGAACAACAGGGAAACCCCCAGAAACCCACTGTTTCCCTCACTGTGTTTTAGGATAATTGTTTTTCACTATAAGGAAGGGGATGGACAACATTTGCCGGTACATAAGCAGCAGTCTTGTCTGGTAGTCATCATGGAAGTTGATCCTGCAAACTGAAGGATCTTGTCCATTTGGGTTTTATTATGGGGAAAGGTGAAGACAATGGGATGGAATTCTTCTATTATCATGTAGAAATTGAAGTGGCTGAGGAAAGAATGACATTTGTGAGTTGCCTATCCTGGAAGGCATATTGCATGGAATCAACTAGTCTTAGGCTGGGTACACACTGCTGGCTTAAAACACAGTGAGGTCCCCCCCCCTGCTGCATTTAAATTATAATTTGTGCAGTGCTGTACACACCACTATGCTTTGATGTGTTTCTACACCAGGCCCTGCTGTCCCTCCAAATGGGGGCGGGGGCGTCATGTCTTCACCAGATGCAAATTGCTTGGTTGATTTCGCTACCCCTCCTTCCACTCCCAGTTCCTATTGGTGAAGCTTTCATCCCCCTGGAAATCATCTGCAGCCATGGTCCTATACATTGCCAGATACAATGGGATTTACTCTTAAGTAAGAGAGGAAACATCTAAATGGACACATCACAGATTCAATGTTTAAACTCCCTAGCATTAATAGCCCCTCCCCCCTCCTTCCCTCTCTCACACACAGAGCTTCCCCTCATGTCACCTTTTTTTAAAAAGCCAGCAATCATTTATTATGGCGAGTGGCACAATTGATGCTCTCTTGTGCAGAGATGGACGGGGTGTTGTTGGCAAGGAGGAGGAAGGGGGAGGGAAGGGGCTGCTTGTGCATTCTAGGCTTGAATTGTTCAGACTGTCTTTGTGCTGCTTGATTCTCTGCCTTTTTGCAGCACTCTCTGCTCCCTTTACCCTCCATGGCTCCTGACTATAGAGAGTTCTCCCAGTATTGGCACTTTTGAAAATCAAAGTGAGTGAGAGGAGACAGATCTTCCCCTTCCTGTTTGCAGATGCTCTGGGTGGTCAGAGGTCTCCCCCTTCTTGCTTTAAGGCAAATTTATTTGGGAGTAAAGATTACATTCCTAACCCATTTACCAGGAAATAAGTCCCATCAAAATCAATGGGACTTACTTCTGATTAAACACAGTTAGGATTGCAGCCTTAGTTCTGAGAACATGGATTAGGACAAGGCAGCAGGTGGGAAGTGGGATGTCCCTCTGTGATCCCTCTCTGCTGACATGTGGGACCACCCCCAGCAAGACAGGCAGATGTTTCAGTTATCCCCAACAGGGATCCATGAAGCATTGAGTAAGCCTATGGTTTTCAAGTCAGAGTGCAGCTGGCTTGGGGGAAACTGCATCAGTAAAAAAAATGACATGATACCTGTGGATTGTGGGTAACATCATCAGTCCTAGCAATCTTAACTACCGATATAATAAGCCAGTGTAATTTATGCCATTTCAAATTAACCCTATTCCAAATCCCAGTCAGGAGTAATTTGGCTTACACCACCCTTTTTTGCCAGCTACATTTAACTAGGTTGAGAGGTCATGTGACTGAGCTGAAAAGGGTTTGAAACAGATGTAGACCTCTTCTTGCCCTGCCCCAGCCACGCCCCCGGAACACCCCTTTTGCAGGAGTTCTGCCAGTATAAACTCCGCTGGCTTAAATTCTGCTGTCTGAGCTACAGTGAGGAACTTATACCAGCAGGTGGCTCAGCCCAGGTTCTGGACTTATACCAGGGAGGTCCTGGCTCAGGTGGGAAAGCCCAAGGTCCAGTGCATCTAGACTCTCATATCAACTCTTAACCTGGCAGATCTTATTTATCTGCTAGAAAGGAGATTGAGGACCAGTTTGGCCTTTGTGTACACAGAGTCAGCTGGCAAGGGAATTTTAGGTTGCTGGTTTTGCTTTGGTTCCCAGCTACACCCTTCCTACTCCTTGTCCCTATAAATGTATAAAGAAACATGTTTTCAAAAACAAAGACACCATAAACGCCCAGTGTTCTCCTTCCAAAATATTGATCTTGCAAAGGTAACCCTGATTTTCCCGTTACTCAAGGAATGGCAGGAAATGAAACAAAGGGGATGTTTAGACCAACACTGAAAAGACCAAGAACTCTGGCAAGGTGCTGGGGGAAAAGGATCAGAGAGGTTGCAGGAAGCTGAAATACTGAAGAAAAGGAAACATACTGGTCAGATTAAGAGTGGATTATACTGACATACTCCACAGAAGCATAATCAATCTTTGATTTAATAATTCAATACCCCTAACTGCAACCCCAAAATAAAGTGTATCAAAGCCTGAAGTATCGATATAAAAGAGCATTTCTTGATATAATGACTTTTAACTGTAACTTCCTGTGGTTGGAACACAGAAGACAAAAGAGTTTATTCATGGTTTCATCCAACATCAAAGTCTAGAATGTTCAGAGAAAAAAACTAGAATCCTCAGAACCAGCTTCAATGAGACCGTCAGTGGCCTCTTCAGAGAGACAGGAGGAGACCAGCTTTAGAAAGCTGAGGATGAACTAAGAGCCTACAAAAGCTTTCAAATGTCCCGGGGAAACAGTGGCAGTAATTTTGTGTGGTTAAGGACACCCAAGATGCTCAAGAGATTTCAACAGAGTCAATCTCCATTAATTTATTTTTAATTATGTATGCATCATGGGCAAAATCCACATTCAGTTTTCTTGACCCCAAATAGCATGTGTCCAAGGGGAGACCATTAATCATGTTCTTAAAGAACCTTATAGCCTACCAGACTGTTTTTTAAAGCCCTAAACAATTTTAGACCACTTTGCCATGTTATTTAGCTTTTGGGCCACACCAGCATAACCACCTTGAGGGACTGGGTTTTTTCAGCTGTGAGACCTCAGTTGTGGAATTCCCACCCCTGTAGCTTGCTTGCCTTGCATTGAATTTGAATGGCTTTCAGATGATAAGTGAACGTATTTTTATTTCCCCCAGCTTTTAATGGTGAAAATAAGAATTCCTTTGGTTTTGCTCCTGCTTTTAGTTGTGGCTGTGTACTGTCATTTTACTGTGGCTGTATTTTAGTTCATAGAATTGTAGAATTGTAGAATTTGAAGGGACACCAAGGGTCATCTAGTCCATGCCGTTGCAATGCAGGAATCTCAACTAAGCATCCATGACAGATGGCCATTCAACCTCTGCTTTAGAAACTCAAATGAAGAATAGTCCACCACTTTCCAAGGGAGTCTGTTCCATTTTCAAAGAGCTTTTGCAGTCAGAAAGTTCTTCCTGATGTTTAGTCAAAATCTCTTCTTCTGTAACTTGAATCCATTGGTTTGAGTCCTACCTGCCAGAGTAGGACTCATACCAAGCCTGCTCCATCTTCCATGTGACAGATCTTTAGAATCAAGTTGCTGGCACCAAGTACAGGGAGTTTGCTGTGAGCAGAGAGTGTGTGTCCTGTGTGTCTGTGGAGTGAAAGTGCACAGGAGCAGCACAGGAAGCTGCCTTCTACAAAGTCAGGCCATTGGCTCCATCTTGCTCAGTAGTGTTTACACTGGCTTTCAGCAGCTCTCCAGGATTTCACACAGAGGGCATGTGGTATATAAATATTCCAGTATTACAATGTAGGTAAGAGGGACAGTCTGTTTTCCCACCTTGGAGAAACTGAAACCTTTCCCTCCAAAACCTTCTTGCACACACTGGCGGAGGAAGAGGAGTGCGGGGGGAGCGCACTGTCCCTGGCAGCGCGATCCCGGTGGGGAGCCATCATGGCTGCCACCCCCAGGATGCGCGCCAGCCCCGCCCCGCCTGCTCTCAACTCCCCCAGTGCCGGAGCATGAAGCTCCGCCACTGCTTCCACAGAGAGATTGCTGTGTTGTTGTTGATTTTCACTGCAAAAATCAACAGCTAGATCAAAACCTAAATACCGTATATGCAAAAAAGAGG